AGAGCATAGTGTTTCTTGCTTTTTCAAGTGAAATTTCCGATGATCAGGGAGGAGCTATGCACTGTTTCAGAAGTATACATACTAAACTCTTTGTGAACGACCACCAACTGTAAAAAACCGTGACTTATCTGGACCCTCGGACTATATATAGGCTCCAGATATCGCCCCAAAGCACAGTAGACAAAATTTAGATTTTTGCATTCGAAGTAAACATCCGAAAACCTACATACTTTGAATTCATTTTCGAAAAGCTACTCAGTCATATGAAAATCGATCCTCGAAGTTCACTTCGAGTTTGCAAATTCAGCACCACTTTTCTACACTTCCCATTCTTTCGGCCACCCTGTTGGCTCTCCAGCTCAGGTGTTTGTTGCGGTAGCAGACTTTGCTAAAAGTAAAGTAGTTGACGTCTGCACTTATCCGCACCTTATATGCGTTTTTCTCATCTATTGTGTTCGGCATTACCGTTCGTACACTTCAGACATGAGAAAAAGAATAGAGATTCTAAAAGGGCCATCACTTGTATTTCCAGTCGATTTTGAGTTCATGCTCTTTGGAATATCTGGAACATGATCAGATTGCAGGTTGATAGTGGTAAATATTCACAATATACCCACGCTTCAAATATAGAAATTACGCATGATTAGATCCAGTAGGAAAGGAGTTACTTCTGGAAAGTGCGGCTGAACAACCATTTCACCGAAGACTTTTGAGCGCTACTGTATGAAACAGTATTCAAATAATTTTCGAACATGTTCCCTTTGCTCTTTTCTTTTTCCAATCACCATTCAATATTCCCCCCCCGTAGGGGTGGGCCGATCCCAACAGCAGTGCAACGCTGGGCCGACCCGTGACGAGGAGCGAGCAAGCCCACGACCTCGTCCGGTCTCAAAAATCAAATAACCTTAACGAGATTCATTCGAATCTCTATCGAAGGTTAATTCGATAAGAACAGAAACTAAACTTTGATCTTAGCCAAAAGGCCGAGAAGCGATACCACCCAGGTCGACAATTACCCAGTCACTAATGGCCGTAACGTATATCTCGTGGCTTTACGTGCAGCCTTTATTACATGTGAATCACCGATTCCACTCTATTCCTTGACCAATTTCTACGAAAAAAATTTTCATTGAATCCCTGATGATTACTCAAGGCTCTGTTTATGCCATTATCGTATTAAACTCCACAAGTATTGATAATAAAAAGCAAAAAAATGCTTAAGGGGTCACCGATAAGGCAGTATAATTGTTGGGCAGTTTTTATACGAAACGGGTTTTAATTCTTCAAGTCTTTCTTCATTTGTCGAAGTTCCCAACTGCAAGATGCAATTCCAACTCAAAGAATTAATAACAGTCGATCGGATTTTGAAAACGAGAGGTCAGTAATCAGCTAATTAGGAGAGGCTACCCTACAGGTCACCGAAGAAAGGTGCGAGGGGATCTCGCAGATCAAATCAGATTTAAGGTTGCGCACATCTTGAAGGCTCCAAATTATATATAATATTTTATTTCTTATTGAATGGGGTGCTTTCTGAGGTTCCTGCAATGCCGTCTCACTTTAATTCTTCATAAAGAAGCCATTTCACTATCAGGGCTGTAAAATGTGAAATTGATGTTGTCTGGGCATCGAGTTGCACTTGAACTCGCCAGTGGGGTACTCCTTAATCTCTGACACATCCCAATTGGTTAGCATTTCGGTGGAGAGATATGCGCGTATTGAGTAGACGGATGGAGCTAGATGGATAAGCCAAATGTATCGTTCAGAATTCTACATTACTTCATTGAATGATCGATACACGATGAAATCTTTGTTAGCATTCAAAAATTTATACCAAATCTACACAGTTACCATAAGATGCAATAAGTTAGGCAATGGTTATCATGGGATATTGGGTGCATTTAAATAATTCTTCTATTCAGGTATAATTATGGTTATAAATATCTCTTGATCAAGACGAATAAAGCCCGTCTAGTCTGATGCAGACTACTTTGTGAAGGTGATTTCAGTGTCGGTCAGAACTCATGTACGGAAAGATTCTACGATAAATTCGTGAAAGATCGGGTTTGTCCAAGTCGATGATGGATTCCCGAAAACCAGCAAGCGGCGTATTTGTTGTTGCGCCGGTAGAAGTGCTCTGAAAAAACGAGCTACATTGTAATCTTCCTACCCCTATTGCCCAAAATCAAGGGAACATAATTGATAGTACGGTTTAGCATCTACGAAGCACTTCAAATTAAAAAATAATCATTTTTTACTTCAACTATGACAAAAACGTCGTGGTCGCATACCTTCGACGAAAGCGATTCTTCTGACTCGCTAGCAGTCTCTGTTACCTCACTAGTGGATGACGGCTCTGAAAATCTTATTTCTATAAAACCTTAAAATCTTCTTTTGAACTAATGTGGAATTTCTAACCAAGGGTTGTGGTCTCGGAGTCCTCCGGCATGGGTGCTGTTGTCGTGCTGGGTTCAGCAGATGTAGTACTTTCCGTTTCCTCCGTTGGTTTTCGATTTTCACTTAGCTCCGTACAGCGCCTCTTCGCTGCAGTAGCTGGTGAAGAAGAAGTACTACTGCCGTGCACGTCTTCCTCCTGAGAAGTGGAAGATGCTGGAGAAGTAAGAATAGTGGAGGTTTCTGTGGATTCAGATGTAGTAGAAGGAGCTGTTGTTGTTGATGGGTGGGGTGAAGTACTGCTTCGGTCCAAAATTTGGTCCACGGTAGAAGGTTCGTCACATTGCGCCGAAACGACAGTTAGAATTGTCAAAAAATACGGAAGGTACATCAGCATGGTGCAGGTGCTTAGAAGTGGGCTAATGAAGAGTTGCCGCTGTCCACTTTATAGGTGTTCGTATAGCCGACCACGCCCTGTCCAACCTGAACTCTCGCAGATTCTTTGCAAAGGCGGGAATTAGCGTATTTTTATTGACAGAAATGTTTGCACAAGAGTGTAGCTACGCACTCGCATAGAGCATGCAAAGTGGGAAGAATGTGTGTGGACAAGTGGTGGCCAGTGGCGCACCACTGCGGCCATTTCAGACCAGAAGGACTGGTCGTGCAACATGAGTGCGCAAGGTCGAGCAAAGACTGAAAGTCGAACAGGGCATAATCATATTCGAAGATGAAATGCTCCCACGAATGAGCCATTCAAAAAGGCTTTCAAAGAAAAATCCTACATATATTCATTAACAGAGTAGCTGAAGTAACGGTATAGAGAAACGTGAGTTGAAGCACCGTGGTGCTCTTCATCTGTCTGGTAACAACTTATTTTAGGCTCATTCTATTGTCATTTTTGTTGTTATATTATTTATTTTTCTGTTGCTCAATATGATGAGTAAGAGATTGAGATGGCTCACTATAAAGATGACTTTCGTGATTTCTGCAGGACGAATCTCTAGTTTCTAAGGAAGCCACAGGGTCAAAAAACGACTCGGATAGGGCCTTGTAATGGCTTAAAAAGGGTCTTCGTCTTTTACGGCCCTTATAGGCTGCACCATTCTCAATGGAGCACTTATGTATGTTGAGAATCCAAAGAGTTGATTGTCCGGGCTGATACAATCATTTTACTCTTTGGTACTATTATATTCCATAATATCTGATTTCCTTATTCCTATACCCTCTTATGAAAAAGGTCAATTATTTTGAATGGTGATCAAAGTTTTTGGTATTTTTGTATACTGTAGACGGCTCCCTACGCAATTGTACACGACTGAAATCCCAACCACTCATTCCTTTCCCATATCACTTTCTTCATCATAATCACCTACCTTAACATACTTCAACTGATTGAAGGACTCTAATACCCCGATAGCT